TTTTTTTTTTTACAAAAATTTGGCACTCTTTGAGGGTCGTACATGAAACTAAATAGCTAAATCAGGGATACTACTACAACCAAGTGCTTGAAGAATGTAATTACTCACAGTTTATAACTAATGCAATCAATTCAAGATTACACTTGAACACCCCCAAGCATGCAAAATACAAGAACCAAACTCTTTTCTGTCTAAGACTACCACTTGAAGCTTTATCTATACTGTCAATCCTGACCTCACTACAACTGCTGGTGCACTTTAAACAGTATCCAGGCCTTGTTCAGAGAGCTTGAAGCTGGACATAGACCAAGAGTAAACAAATGAAGCAGTGAATAGGGCAAAGTCTGCCTCTTCAAAGACTTTATCTAATCTCCCAACAGCAGAAATAACACAAAACAAGACCCAAAATCTAAGGACAAATTGTGAATGAAATTTTACAGCTGCAATACAAAGTCTGATCAATTCTTGTGAATCGGTTAATGTAATTCAGGGGTGTCCAATCCTGCTCCTGGAGGGCCACTATTATGCACTATTATGAGTTTAGATCAAATCCTAATAGAACACACCTGAACCAGCTAATTAAGGTCTTCAGGAAAACATAGAAACCATTCAAGTGTGCTGGGTCTGGAGGGGTTGGAGCTAAATTCTGCAGGACACTGGCCCTCTAGGAGCTGGCTTAGAAACCCTTAATGTAATTGGTTCTTGACAACTAACATTACATTATACATTAACATTAAAAACTTTAAAAAAAAACAAGGAATATAGTGACAGGCTACCAGAGGCGGACAGTAACTAAGTACATTTACTTGAGTATTGTACTTAAGTACACTTTTTGAGTATCTGTACTTTACTTGAGTATTATTTTTTCTGGGAACTTATGACTTTAACTTCGTAGGTGTAATGTATTGTAAGTTGCTTCAGAGGTATTGCAAGTATTACGTACAACAATAAAAAATATGTGCATTGACATAAAAAAGGAAATTTACTTTTGGTACTTAAGTACTTTTAAAAGCAAGTACTTCTGTACTTTTACTTAAGTAAAAATCTGTCTTTACAACTTTTACTTGTAATGGAGTAATGTTTGACCAGCAGTATCTGTACTTTCACTCAAGTAATGGAGTTGAGTACTTTGTCCGCCTCTGCAGGCTACCATATCTTTAGATTTGGCTAGTCCACATACTAGAGCTCTATCTAGTCTCTGTTTGAAGTCCATTCATGGATGGTCAACAAAGATAATGATGTACCACACTGATTTCGCAATAATTACAACTTACTGGAGTAATAGCTCTTCGTACACAAGCAAACCTTGACAGCTAACCTCTGCTTGACAGCTAACCTAACCTTCTGTACAGCTAACTGTACAGAACAAAAACACTCACCTCCAGCCACAGCCAGGCCAAGTGCAGGCAAATGGTTTCTCACCCGTGTGTCTCCTCAGGTGCGCCTTTAGGTGACTGCTCTTGGTGTACATCTTGGCACAGCCAGGGAAAGAACACTTGTGCATTTTAATAAGATCAGCTACCGAACTCTTCTGGAATTTGTGAGCCCCCGCTACAAGTCCTGTTCCCTGGTCATCAACTGTTCCATTCTCCCCTAGACCTAAGGGCTTAGCGGCAATGGGAACTGGGGCAATACGGACAAACTTGGAGGAAGAGCTGTTAAGGCTGGCCGGTGGGGTCACCTGAGGAACCAGGGCGAAGGTTTGACCCTGGATGTTGACAAGGAGCTGGGTTATTTTGATGTCTGAGGCAGGTTGAGGTGTTGGTGTCGAGGGGGCAGTTTTAGGGCTCAATTCCTGTTTCACTTGAATGGGCTGGAGCTGTAGGATCACGGGCATGCTAGGACTTTCCACCATCACTACCTTCCCAGAAGAGTCCTCCTTTTTCAACGTGTTTTGAGGATTTGTGGAGGCCCCTACTGCGGATTGTAAATTTTTAGGATCAGAGTTGGCATCAACTTTGTCACTTGAGACAGGCACTGTTTGGTCTAAGTTTTGAGCCCAAGGTTCTGATGCAGGTCCTTGGATGCTTTCACAGGTCACTAGACCCTCTCCAGCTTCCTCTTTCAAGGCCACCACTTCCATGTTCTCCTCCAGAAACTCCTCGATCTCCTCCAGAGTGGGCTGAAACAGTAGCCCCGCATGGTCCTCCAAATCTCCAGGGAAAACAGGGAACTCAAAGCACTCCTCTTTGGTGGTGCGGTCCCGTCGTGACTCCCAAGCCAGACCCATGGGAAGAACAGGAGGGACCATGGGAGACACCATGGTTGAGGAGGGCGAGCTTTGGCTCACAATTAGGGACTGAGAGTGAAGGAAGTCAAGGAGGCCATCTTGACTTTCTCCACTTGAGTTACTCCCACAACTAGAGCCCAACACCTGAGACTCGGGGCTGGAACAGGAACGTTGGCTAGATGAGTCACTCAGGTTATCCTCTGAGAATGGTGATGGAAGCATATGGTACACCCCCTCGTCTGTCACCATATCCGATGGGTTGTGGGCTGGCAGCAAATAAATGTAAGAAAAGAAAGTCTCTTCAGCGAGCAGCAAGTGATCCACCATTCCTGGCTACTGCCTGTTCAAAGTGCGGCGACCACTTGTACAGTTCCCTGCTATGAATGATTCAGGTTTTCAGTCTTTAAAAGCAAGAAACAAATTTAGGATTAGCAATAATTTGACATTTCATAGATGCATAAAATTCTAAGTGATTTGCAGTATAAAAGTTTTAATGTCTGTCCAACTGAAGCAACCTTGAGACCAGACTTTTGATGAAGATCTTAGTCAGTACAATAATTTATGTAATGTTAATCAGACTCCAATTAGCACTGGCAGTTTTACACACACTCCAAAAGACAGAGGTGATGTGAAATGTGCATTTAATCCTTTAAATATTAAATTACTTGTCTAAAAAAAAAAAAAAAAAAAAAAAAAAAAAAAAAAAAAAAAAAAAAAAAAAAAAAAAAAAAAAAAAAAAAAAAAAAAAAAAAAAAAATTTTTTTTTAAAAAAAAAAAAAAAAAAAAAAAAAAAAAAAAAAAAGCTGTAGTCAGATTATTACTATGCATGTAAACAAACTCGATGCTAGGCCGAATTATATTATATAGTTCATTGACTCTTTTCCACTCCACAAGAACATTTTAGACCCAAGATACAGCTAAAGGCTAAGCTATTATCAACTCCTGCCTTGTGGATGTGTGAGACACTGGAAACAATTTACTGTAATAGCTGTATACGTCAACGTTAAAATAAGGATGTGAACATGTTGCTCCCTCACTACAAGTTTTGCTATAAACTAATCATTTAGACAAGATAGCATTGTGCGCACACAACGAGTCTCAGATTATTGCGTTTGACTGGAAACAGATGATTATTGTAAACCAAGACTCTTGGCAAAGGAGCACATAAAATGACGTTGTTATGTGTGGGACAACTCACCATTTAATCAATAAACTGTGTTCAATACCTTAATGTTTTCTCCTTTTTTGGTCTGTGTTGTACTTGATACATAAAAATATGTTTGGCTTTCTCTCTCTTTCCTTGGTGTTTTTCTTGTTAGCATGAAAGACTAACTGTAGTGCTGCTATCTGCATATCAACCATAAGACATTCAAGAAGGCAACATTGTTCATTTCAGGGAATTTGACCACCAAAGCCTAACTTAAATTCTGCAGCTAGTCATTTCATTATAGCATTCCTTGGCCCGTGCACTGAAAAGAAAAGAAAAAAAGAATCTGTAGCTACAGCAATGTAATAACCAGTCCAACAGAGACTTTACACATACTGTCATAATAAGAAGTAGAATAAGAGGACTGGGGCTAGTTGTTACACTTTTGACTCTAGTGAATACTTTTGTACAGACACAAACTTTAAAGTCTTGGCCACAAACACACAAAGGTGTAATAAAAAGATACAGCTAATTAAACATATATTGAGCTGTTGAGCCAATAGTGTGGCATGTTGTCACACTATATGGAGTAGACAAATGTAAATGGTCATTGTTATTGAGTGACAACTACACCCAATCTTTGTCTAAGAAAAAATAAAAGTCTATCATATCCTTAAAACATACACTAGAGTTCTAAATCTATAGAACTGTCATTAGGCTTGCTCACGGTTGGCTTAAGTAGTTCATTAGTCAGTACTGGAAACTGCTGTTTAATCGCGGCGGTGATTCTAGCGCCCCCTGTCTGCTGCCGAATGACCGATAATAACCCTGACATCTACAGGCAGTGTCAACACCCACATGTGTCCACTGCAAACTCAGGAGACATTGTTTTTTCAAATACCCTTAGACACCTTGAAATCAATTTAAATATCCCTTTAATTACATCACATTACACTTTTCAGAACTTTTTCTTCATCATTTATTAAAAGTCAAAGTGGTGGAAATATGCAGTGAACTAACTCCAGACAGTTTTTAACTAAACATTTAAGTTTAAATTTTTTTATGTGAAGTCTGGTAAAAAAGTAAGATAGCATTACTGAAAATTTGCTCTATTATTATCACTGAAATAAATTATAAAACATATTTTTAATTAAAACAGTTTAAAATATGCAACACTTTATGTGCATGCTTTGTGCAATAAACTATTATTGAATAAAGCTTTGATATATTTTGTTTACCCAGCCTTGTTTACCCACTAAAGCTTTTGATCTTTCTCTCTCTTTATATATTTAAACTGTATAAATAAACAGTTAATCCAGGCTATTCTACTTTTTATATTATTATTATTCTGCATTATGTGCCTCACGTTGCGACGCAGCACATAGTTGCACGCAGTTTCCGCGCATACCACGCGACTATTCGACGCGCTAAAGAAAGCATAAAAACAAGCAAACTTACCTCTTTAAATCACTCGCATTAATCCTTGGTGTTTAAAGTTCGAGTACGATCCGTTTCTCTTTTGCTGAAGAATGCTTCATTAGCCGTTAAATGTGCCCTTGAGACATGAAGCGTCTCCTGGCAGATCATGCTCTCGTCTCTGTAGTATTACGCTGCTGTCACACGATCTTGTCTTGTGGGCTTTAAGAGTAGATTTGGGGAAGGCTGCTGAAGGCTCGTCTGCTCCACACGCTGGGATTGGTGGAGCCGTCGATGGAGGCAGGACTCTTGCCTTTTGTCGACAAACTCCACAGTTGCTTCTGTCAACTGAGCGACGGAGGGAACTTCAACTCTTGCAGCGGTGCTTTAATATCAGCGCATCTGGCAAAGAAAGTTGATTTGGACTGCAGAAAATGAGATCAAAGTGCAAATGTTGTCATTAATGGGAAGATCATTAATGAAGTGGATCTTTTATTTTATATTTTAATAACAGCACTATAATACAATAAACTCATCTCAAATGGTGTTGTGAGATTAAACTGAAAAGATTACTGCTGGCAATTTAATATGGGATTAAAGTATGCTACTGACCTCATAAAGACAAACTGCATACCACACATTTGGATGTTATAAAATGTTAATGACTGTCCTATTCATGCCTTTTCATTGATAAATAAGCTATGAGGTTCCAAAAATATCCCTGTGCCTTGGCTTAACTTTTAACCAATCTAACTTAAAGGTATGGGAGGGAAGGAAGGAAGACTTTGAACCACTTTTTTTTTTTTTTTTGCAGCCTTTCCAAGGTGTGCCCAAAGATCATGACAGAACAAAACAAGGCATGAACATTTAAGTCAAACAAGTCCATTCAGTACAAAAAGTAATGATAATAGGCACTCAAGAAGAGAAATAAAGCATTAAGCATGGAGAAATTAAGCATTACGTCAGTTGCTCACCAATGGATCCTCTGCAGTGAATGGGTGCCGTCAGAATGAGAGTCCAAACAGCTGATAAAAACATCACTTGGATCACTGTGGATTATTGTGATGTTTTTATCAGCTTGTTTGGACTCTCATTCTGACGGCACCCATTCACTGCAGAGGATCTATTGGTGAGCAAGTGATGTATTGCTTAATTTATCCAAATCTGTTCTGACAAAGAACAAACTCATCTACATTTTGGTTGGCCTGAGGGTGAGAACATTTTCAGCAAATTTTCATTTTTGGGTGAACTTTTCCTTTAATGTAACAGATAGAAAACAACCACATTATATTAATAGTCAAATAGACAGATAAATGTGTTGTTAAGGATCATCTTGGAAGCAGCTTACACACGAGATGTTGTTGTTTTCCACTTGTGGCTGTATGAAGTCACACAGTGTATTTTTAGTAGGGGGACCAAATCAATCTCAGCTCACTCACCTCTTCAGTGCTTACTAACTGAAAATGTATTTGGTCTTTTTATGGTTTGCTAGAAGCCAAACAAGACCCAAAGGTCTTGAAGCTCTACAGTGAGCGGTTTGATACTTGTACTGTGGTGAAGACGGGACAGTTACCGTGCCAGTGTGTGATTAAGTAACGACAGAGGGCAAACACAGACCTGTCAGCTGAAGAGAGTTAACCTGTGTGTGCATGACTGACTCTGTGACTGGCAAATATTTCTGAACTTGAAAGCATATCTTTGGTCAGAAATAGTCTGAGGTGTAGCATTTTCTAAAACATGATGTAGTTTTGGTATGGTATGTTTCTGATCTGCCCGTCTAATTGGCCATGCATGTAAAGTGTTGTTTTGTAAGTTTAGTAGCAATAAATGGTTGCACTGGACACTTGCTAATTTAGCATATCGAAAGCCACCTACAAATGAAGAAAAAAATGCAATTCATTATAAAAGAACTAACAATATTAATAGTGCAGCAATACAGAATTTGAGTAGTGACACTATATTGAGCACAAATGCCCAAGTCAGGGCCAGCGGGCCACAATTGACTCTTAATGACCTTTTTGATCTTAATGATCTTTAATGACCTTTGATATGTCCCACCATACTATACCACAATAGTATGTAAGAAAAATAGAGGAAAATAAACATGGCATTGAAGCATATATTCATTTCTAATTTTCCTTTAAAATCTAAAAAAATAAAAAATAAAAAATAAATAAATAAAAACAATAGTGCTAAAAAAATTTGATTTTTGGCCTTTTGTATTAAAAAGTTTTGGCATCGCTGCTATAGAGTGTCACTGCAAAACAGAAGAGAAAATAGACAAAAACACCTAAAAATTTTCAAATTTCAAAAGTAAATAAATAAAGTACAAAGTACAATAATAACAAATGCCAATCAATCATTTTTTATTTTAAAAAAACATGTTTCTTTTGTAATATCACTTACTATTTTCTCACACAGTAAATCTATACATAGCTGCTTCATTGTTATCTCTATATTTGGGGGTTTTGGTCTTGAGAAGTTTGAAAAACGCTGTTTTAGAGAGCCTTTAAACAAGGAACTTGAATATCCAGGTGCCCAGATCTCTTCCTCAAGCTTCTCTATGACTTCTCTATAACTGCATACCTGCACCTAGGGCTGGGTATCGTTAAAAAATGTTCGATATCGATACCGATAGGATCGTTTTCATTTTAAAACATAAACGCACCAGTGTAAATGTAGCCTTACATCTAAGGGGGCTGGGACGCATTCACACTACAGCCTCACGTGTGCGCCACATCTCTGAGTGTAACCGGTGTAAACTAGTAGGTGTGTTCGACTTGACGCGGACCGACTGTGCACTGCAGACCGATCAGTGTATTACAGTACCACGAGAGCTCAAGAGAGCAGACTGCTCCGTACGCTTTCGAATCGCTCTCGCGGATGTCAAACACTGATCGATCTGCGCCACACCTCTTCTAGTCGAACACACCGGCTAGTGCTGCAGGCTTAAGGCCAAAGTATACTTAAGCTGTGCGGACACGGCTGAGCGCGAGACGGAACGGAACGCGGAAAGTGACGTATACCCGGGCCTTTATTGGCTCACTGACGCTGATGAGATTAACCCCTTAGGTATCGAAATTTGGTACCGAACGACGAGACGGTTTTCGATACTCGATGGTATCGAGGCAATTCGGTCGGTGCCTAAAAAGTATCGAACTCGATACCCAGCCCTACCTGCACCGACTGCTTGAAGAATCAAGAAAGGCAAAGCAGACTGAATCCATCAGCTGAAGAGACATCAGGACACAGCTGTCATCAAGAAAGACATGAAAGTCTTGAGTCGTGAGTCCAAGTGACTCTTATTAGTCTGAGTCTGATAACAGACTGTTACAGTTCCTGGCAAAAGAAGGAGAGAACAGGACAATAAACATCAAAAATGCTATTGGATTAGCTTTATTTATTATTAACTTAATTTTGAAGAAACCACTCAAAGTAAAATCTGTCAGTGAAACTCAGGCTGGACTCATATCAGACATACACTAACATACTCTTAAAAATAAAATGATTCTTTAAAGGTTTTACAGCCTGATGCCATAATACACACACACACACACACACACACATATATATATATATATATATGTGACATTTCATTCACTGACGCTCTACACCCGGAAGCGCATACACTTACTTGCCGGCAACCCGCCAAAATAAAAGCTTGCTGATTTTAAGTTTGAAAATAATGTTCATTCAAATTAAAATAATAATAATAAAAATATTAGCATTTTATTTTTAAGTTTACTATAAAATAATTGCATTTGTATTTAATACTCCCTTTTTATTTTAAAATAAAATAGTATTATCACACTTTATTATTTAATTCTTTTATTTTTTTTAAATAAAGTGCAATAATATTATCACTATTATTAATTAATTTTTTATAGTTATAATTGGTCACACTATGTGCCCTGTGAGGACCAAACCAAATGTCCAGGTTCTCATATGAGAACCAGGCTGAAAAACTTATGTGCACCCCTGGTTATTATTGTTGTTGTTGTTGTTGTTAATTATGACAACAAATCTTTAGATACAACAATAACAACAGCAATAATAATAATAATAATAATCATTACTGTTATTATTAGATAATACTATAATTTTATTTTATTACTTATTACTATTATTATTATTACATTATTACTAGTAAGGTTATCATCATGATTATTACTATTATCTATTAGTAGTAGTAGTAGTAGTAATGATAATAACAAATTTTAGATGCATTATTAACAACAACTATAATAATAAATAACAACAATATGAGTATTGTTGTTGGTGTTAATACCAAAAAACAACATTATTATTATTATTATTTATTATTGTTCCTGTTGTCATAATATAGAATATTGTCCATTATTATAATTATAATTATTATAATTATTAATGAATATATATTTTAAAAGGATATATTTGGATTATTTGTTCAGTAACACTGTCAACAAACATATTCTTTTTGTATTGTTAATTACTGTGATGATTGTCGTAATAATTATTGTAATTACATATATAATAATTTTGATGTTGTTGTGTCCAATAATAAGATATTTTAATTGGGACTATTTGTTGAGAAACGCTGTCAACAAAACATTATTTTTCTTTGTAATAAAATAAAATAACACGTCGAACCATTGAATCCTTCTGTCAGTCAACCCTTAGTAACCCTTGAATGGTCAAACACCTGTCATCTTGTTAAACTTCTATTACGTCAGAGGCATATCAGCAACAAAAACAAGTCAGCAACTGAAGGATCCTATCTCCAGCCATTATCAACTGACAAACACATCTCTAATAATTGTTCATATTTTTATTACTGTTGTTAATAGTCTATAAATAATAGTGTGTAATTAAAAAAAAGGCACAATTTGCTGGGTGGAAGCACAATTTCAGTCCAAAAGGTACTTATTATGAAAATGTCACTAGCAGGGTATCATTAAAAAGGGAGAAAACTTATGTGTGGTTGAATTCTGGGTCAAAATAAAGTATTTAAGTCTTTCACATACCTATAAATACCAGCAACCTGGACAAGTTAATTTCCTCCCCCAGTGACAGGTGGGATGCGAGGCCTTTCGTCTCAAGACACTAAACTCTTTCTGAACTTTATGCAGGTCACACCACCAGAGGATAACTGGACAAAACCAGCTCAGAATACTAAATGAGAAAACGCATAAAAGATTCATAAGAATTCAAAGGAATATTAGGGGGAAAAAACTATCCATTGTAACGAAATATTAAACTGTGAAAATCCTTATAATTAAAGATAAAAGCGATGAAGCAGCTCTACTGGAGAAACCCTGACTAGGCTGGTTGGTTTGCTGGTCGTAACTGGTTTCAGATGGTCT